TTGACAGCCCACTGACAGTGCTGGATTTATGCACCATTTTATCAGCTCGCGCGTGCAATGCGCAGCTACCTACCCCCCAAATCATCGGTGAACGAAACTGCGGCAGCTACAACCAGTGTACGACGAGTACGCGTTTCTTACAGTTGACAATGATGATGATGATCGAATAAGGAACCCACGCTCATGTGGACATCACTGGCTGAACATCCCGTTGGCGAACAACATACTGCTCCCCAAAAGCTCCAAATAAATCGTTCGCCAACGGCAAGTACTCGAAGAAAAAATTTCAACTGGGAGAGAGACGATGCGAAATCGCATAATAACTCGGGTTTGGACACTGCACTTCAGTGTCTGGCGCACAGGCTGTCCAGTGTGGCAAGATCGCAAGCCTTTGGTGAAGTGCGAATTCAGATTAAAAGAACAAATAGTTGTTCACATCCCCGTAGAAACGTGTAACCCACATTGATACGTATATCAGTCGTAGGCAGTGTACGTTTAACTGGCGACAGACATATTCGTGAGAGAGATTCGCATTTAACAGAAACCAGATTGCTTAACACGTAAGTTTTGGATGAAAACTATTCAAATGTCGAGTTTAACTTTAATTTGTCGATTGCTATTGCCTATATATCGCTGACCTGACAGTAGTTTCTATGAGCTAAATGACAGCAGGACGTCAAGTTGATACGGTCCAAACGAATTATTTGTCGATCTCTAGTGCGTATCTGTTACTCCACTTACGCTCACAACATAAAACAAGACTAAAATGAGATACTGAAATGAGAGGCGCTCCACATTTGACTGGACGAACCACCTGAAATAGCGTGAAACCAGATGGAAAAGTGTCATCAAAATCGTACACGATGCATCGTTGATCCATTCAATATTTATCGGGTTGTAGTGAGACAACCAGGAGAGTACTTCATCTGTGCTCAGATTATGCGTTCCCCAAATATGCAGGGCCGTTTCTCGGTATCCTTTGGACTGCAAGGTATCACGTCCTCCAGGGAAACCCAGATGCGCGTAGACTCTTTGAGCGGATGCCTCGGTAACGCCTAGGTCGGAGCCACAATCACAATATTCGGACTTCGGGCAGGAAGGAGAGAAAGAGAAGACACTTCATTCAAATGTGGATGATCGTCATTCAGTAAGATGAGGCACAAAACGAAATCGAAATGAAAGCCCAGTTAGGCAAAAACATCAGCATAGTAAAACGCAAGATCCATTGTGATGATCGAAGTGATTCACATCCCACAGGGAATTTCTTGGCCAAAATAAGTTCGCACCTTGGTCCGCAGGACACTCTACCTATCCACTTGAGATTTGGACAATTGTGTACTACTGAAACACTTCCGTCGAGGCACGGCAAATGGTACCTGCTCACAGTGAACTAACAGTGAAATGAACAAGAAACTCCTGGCGGTGTCATGGACTCGTTTACACTAAAAAACACAGATCTGTCAGTTTATGGAAAACTGCGATGCCTTGATTCTGACAGACTGATATCCTGACCCCCCAGGAATCTAACGAGCCAGAGAAGGGGTATCCACCGAAATAATAATCTAAAACAGTTCCCCAGAGAAAACACATGTGAGACACTCACAACATGTACAATAGCCTCGAAAATAGTGTCTGTCATTCGGGATTGTTTATTTCGTTGGTTACTGGCGGGGGTGTTGCTTGTTGGGAAGTTCTCGCGAAGTACTCTCAGACTGCCTTCCAGGCTGCGCCTACATGATGAGTCCCAAGAAGGGCGAAACCGGTCGTGGGCTGTCGACAGCATTACGAATATACATGTATCGCGATATCTCGAATATCATAGAGACTGAAACATGAGGCGGCCTGATGCAGCAAATTCGGTTGCCTGGAAACATCACAAACAAGAGATTCAGCTGGGTTCCAGGTGTGTTTCTCGAAAAACTAAATTAGTTGCAAATGAGTGCATTTCGCTACTCTCAGGCTGTCTTTCAGAAATAGTTCTGTCAGGGAGACAATCAAAAAGTGTTATTAACAACCTACAGCAACTGATCACATCCTGTAACTGAACAACTTTCAACAGCCATCACTAAAACGGGACGATAGCTAGCTTGCTTAATTACTTCAGTTTCTCAGGCCGGTATTAGTACATGTTAAAAAACTGTCTATTTGAGGAAGGCAGTTTGCTCGTACTGGAAGCTGAACCCACATCTGGTCGGGTGCGATAAGGGAGTTCTTCACAGAAATCTGATATGATCTGCTCAAAGCAGCCTCCGTGCCCATTAGACACACCAGAAAGGGCTACTCTGTGTCAGTCGACCATTCGAATCCGGGTCAATGTATACTGTAAAGCAACAGACTGTAATCAAGTGTGCCGCGCCAGTCAGGTAAGTGGAAAGTCATAAATACTAGTGAGAATTCGCGGAATACATTCATTTGCACACCAATTTGTTTTTTTGATCAAAGACAGGCGATTCCTAAATGAGCACTCATTTGTGATATTCTTCCACTGAATGTGACACACAGATTCGAGATATGACAATATATAGTTTTTTAAATAAAACTACTAATGAGAATACTCGTGCCGTACTCGAATAAAAACCAAAAGCTAATAGACGATCCATGCTATCTTTTAGTTGCGTGCTGCAGAGTCACTGAACTTTGCTATGACAACTCCATCCATGTCAGTTAGTCTGGGCAAACAACCATCATTCGACATCTTGTATTCCATATCAAATGGCGTGACCATTCTGCGGCTCACATCCCTCCACATGTCTAAACTAACAGTCATGTGCTCTGGGTTGCCGCGTTGAGATTTGTCTACCTTACCCTAGATTCCTATGCCTTTTTATTAGGTGTTAATACAAGTTTATTTATCCTCAAGCATTTCCTATCAGGAGGAACCATAACAAGCCTTCGATAGGGTCAATTAGCCATCTGCCAACGTACCCAGTTCGAAAGACACGTCCATAAGACTAATGGGTTGAGACCACCAAACCATGTAATGCTGCACGAATCTGAGCCCCCCACCCGATATATGATCTTCTGAAAGAACCTCGACTTACAATCGGTGGTTTGGGTAAACAATTCCATTGGCCTTTGAGTGACTGGTTGATGCATAAGCAACTTTTAGGCTTGACTAGGACTCCTCCATTGAGGGCCTATAAGGACGTAAGCGAAATCCAAAAGCAAGTTCCCATAGAGGTTAGCTGGAGCCAAATGGTAGAATACTGATGGTACGGCATCATGGATTTTTAGAGCTTACACACAAATGTATACATGGGCACTCAGAGGTAAACTGATCACGTTGACGATCTAAGATAGACAGTCGTACCTCAAATTCACTTAGAGCAGAGAACAGTCGACTCGACGTTAGTCTGCAAGCATTCTGATTATTACTTAAGATGGAAAGTGATGAGTTAGATTGGGTGATGAGCAAAATCCTGCGTTTCGGGGACCAAAGGTAACGTTTACCGGTGAGAAGTAACGTTACTTCAAAGTTATTTGTAGTGTTGTGTGAGCACACCATATAAGAGGCTTCGCTGCAGACATAAACGCACGAGTGAACACGACTGAAGGCCAACAGTTTATTCGCTGGAATAAGTAGAGGATATTCTGACATAGACAGCGTGGCTCGAGTCATTTTCTGAGTTGCGATCAAGACATTGGATTAACGTTATGCGACCCACCTAAAAAATAGTAATTCAGAGGCACTAGCAAGATGGCTCAGTGGTTAAAGTGCGTGTTTACTGACAGGAAGGTCCGTAATTAGAAGCCCTACTCTGTATCTCGACTTCTCCCATCTAGGCTTGGGCAACCTGGTAGTATCCCAACCCTCGTGCTTCCTTCGGGTGGCGTAGCAACTAGGCAGAGAAAGGATGTTACAGCTGAACGATTACTAGCCACAAAAGTTCAAAAACCTAACTGAAAGTAACAAGTGACTGGGAGATCATAACAGAGACAGAGCAGCAGACTGGGTGAGAGCAGCTTTAAACCGCTTTGAGTATTCAGGCGCTGTTTACAGTGGACTCACCTGGCAAGAGCAGTAAATATTCTGCTCCTTTACTGCTACCGAATTATCCACGTCTCGATCATCTGACATGTCCACGTCGATCGTGACTTTCAACCCAGAAACTGACAGCATTGCATTGAGCAACGTGTCCGAGTAGGCAGGGAGCAGGCCGCTGTGACCGAATAACACACCAAAGTTCTACGACTAGCAGTTGACACCTCTAAAATGAATAAAATACGGTTAGTAGAAGATAAGGGTATCTCAAAACTTTTATGAGTATAGTCCAATGCACGGGGAAAAGCATCGGCACTAATTAGGGAGAGATGGCAAAAGACTTCCGTACTCGGGACCCTAACAGATCAGAAATACTTAACTCTCCTGAGGGCAGAGTTTTGCAGTTACAATGAACTGAGGAGTATTGTATTTAATCGAGTCTGTTGGATACCTACCGCTAAGACAGCAGAGCCGGGTTTCTTACTCTATATTCAGATCAACAGACAAACAACTGGCACGGGGTTCTGACACCGTAATTGTCGGTCCGCTTCTCTGCGTCTCTTCTCTATACAGAAGTGCTGGACACAAAGTTGCCATATTTTGAGTAGTTCTGGGTGAAGATCTGGCGCACATGACT